TGTTGGTGTTGGTGTTGGTGTTGGTGTTGAGTAGGAACCAACTCTCAGCTGCACCTTCATTAGGTTTCTAAGAATGTAAATTGCGTGGGAAGAGACTTTTCATCTTTCTCCCAAAGACGTTGCTGGTGGATTCGAACCTCGAGAGAGCCAAAGCCTTTGGGTAAGTAGCAAAGCTCCCTACATACCAGAGCTCTATGTTCTCATCTCCATGGATACATAAAAAAAAAAAAATTCAGTAGAATTTACTACTATTTATTTACGGAAATTCTGAAGATTGGAATAGAAGACAAATTCCTCTATCTGATTTAGAGACTACAACAACAAATAACTTGTTGCCATTAGGTTGGAACTAAGTCATAGTGACTCTCTAGTTGGTTTTCAGAGGCTGTAAGTCACAGGGGAGGAGCTTGATCCCAAAAAAGATGGTGGATTTGAACCATCTGGCTTTGGGTTCACAGCACCAATGCCTGGCCTATCAGATCTTCCGTATTTAGAAAATAGATGACATTTTTAAAAAAATAACCCCCAAGAGTCAACTTTATACTTAATGGAAGAAGATTGAGGAACCTTCATTTTAAAATTGGAAATAAGACAAAGATGTCCATTCTTACCACTTCTATTCAATATTGTATAAGAGGTCTTACCTAGAGCACCATGGCAAGAAAAAGAAATAAAAAGGATACATGTTGGAAAAAAACATTCATCTTTATTCATGGATGACATAATCCTGTAGAGAAGCCTCAAAGGATCCACAAGTATCCAAAGCTGATAGAAGAATTTTGTAAAATTACATTTTTCAAAGTTAATTGATAAAGATCATTTGGGTTTCTATGCATCAGCAATGAAGAATCTGAAAAGGAAATTAAGGAGAATTTTCACTTATAATAGCTTCTAAAAGAATGAAATACATAGGAATAAGTCTGAACAGAGAGGTGAAAGACTTAAAAATTAAAACTGTAAAAACTAGAGAAAAAGATTAAAGCAAACAAATAATTAAAGCAGTATGAGGTTCAGGAATTGGAAGGCTACTCAGAGAAATATATAGATTCAATGGAATCCTAATCTGATTCAAATAGCCTTCTTGCAGAAACAGAAAAACCAGTCATTAGCTTTTTATGTGATGAACAAGTGCTCCTAATAGCCAAAACATTGTTGAATGAGAAGAATAAGAAAAGAGAATTCTCACTTCTTGATTTTAAAGCATCTCATACAGCTACAGTAATCAGAACAGCCTAGTACTGGTGTAAAAATAGACACATAGACCAGTAGAATAGAATTGAGATTTCAGAAATAAAATCCACACCTTACGGTCACTAGGTATTTGATGTGAATGTTAAGTTCATACCATACAGAAAAAAAGAAATCTTTCAATAAATGGTGCAGCTAAAACTGGACTTCCTCATGTGAAAAAATATGAAGATCTGTTACCCATGCTATACAGGAAAACAAAGTAAAGATGAAGACCTAAATATACCCATAAAATTCTTAGAAGAAAACATTTTAAACACTGTCATACTGTCAGGCACAGCTGTTTGTTTGTTTGTTTGTTTGTTTGTTTTGTTTAGGCATACCTTTTAACAATTGACTTTCAAATATAATATCAAAAACACAAGCAACAAAAAAAAAATAAAATAAATGAGACCTCATATTTGTTCATCAAAGAACTTAACCAAAAAAAAAGAAGAAAATCTACCCGCTGAGAGAATATCTATGGATATCATGTATTCAACAATAATCTCATAACCAAAGATTATTACCAAAAATGTTATGCATAAAACTTTGACAACTTCAATAACAAGAACAGAAAGACTTATAACTCAATTATAAAAATGGGCAAAGGGTCTAATTAAGCATCTTACCAAAGAGGACAAACAAATGGCCAGAAAGCACACGAAAAGGATGTTAAGCATCATTAGCTATGGTTGTCGTGTACCACCAGGTTGGAATCTATCCATAGCTGGCCCTCCAGTGGGTTTTCAGAGGCCCTACATTACACAGGAGGTGATTGTCCATCTTTCTCCTGCAGAGTAGGTGGTGGATTCGAACTTTGTTCCTTTGGGTTGGCGGTGCAACTTCTTATCACTATGTCATCAGAGAACTGCAAATTAAAACCGAGATAGCATTCCAGTCTTTTAAGAATGACTATGATTACAAAAAGGGAGGGAGGGGAATGTATCCAGATGATACTAAGACTTTGTAAAATACAGGGGAATTGGAAGCCTTATTCATTGCTGGTGGGAGTGCAAAATGTTACAGCTATTATGACAGTGTGACAGTTCCCAGAAAACCAGACTAACAGCACTAATCTTTTGATTTCTTGATTGCTACTACGATGGGTGTTAATGGTGGACCCAAGTAAAAGGAAGTCTTTGACAACCTCAGCCTTTCTCTAACATAATTTTGCCTAGTGGTCCAGGGTTGAGGATTTTTGTTTTCTTCAATCCATTCTGAAGGCTCGAGTCTTTGATCCTCTGTACCATGAGTTCCAAATCCTCTTCATTTTCTCTAAGCAAAGCTTCTCCATCTATGTATTGTTGGTTGTTGATGAGTCTTCTTTCAATCTTGATACCAGTTCTTCTTCATATAATTAAGCTTCTTGAATTATTTGCTCATGTTGTTATTATATTTGTTGACTCAGAACAGACTCATAGCTGAACCTTGAGCAGGTTTTCAGAGGGAATTAATTGGAGATTGGCCCATCTTTCTCCTTCAGGGCAGCTAGTGGATTCAAACTACAGGCCTCTGGGTTGGCAATCAAGTCCTTACCACTTTAAGACACCAGAGCTCCCTTTGTTCAGCATACAGATTGAGTAAGTATGGAGAAAGGATACAACCCTGAGGTAACGCCTTCCCTGATTTTAAACCACACAGTGTTTCCTTGTTCTGTTCAGGCAACTGTTTCTTGGTCTGTATGTGAGCACAATCAAGTGTTCTGAATCTCATTCTTCTCAACTTTAGTCATAATTCGCTATGATCCACAAAGTTAAATGCCTTTTTATAGTCAATGAAATACAAATAAATGTTCATCTGGAATTCCCTGCTTACAGCCAAGATTCAATTATATTCTTTGTGCCACCGCCACTTCTAGATCCAGCTTGAATCTATGAAAATTCCCTGTTGCTGTACTGTTTCAGCCATTTCATAATAATTTTCAGCAAGATTTTACTTTTATGTGATATTTATAATATTGTTGTTGTTAGGTAGCATTGAGTTGGAACCAACCCACAGCTGACCCTCCAGAGGGTTTTCAAAAGCCTTAAATTGCATGGGAGGAAATCGGTCATCTTTTTTTTTTTTTAACGAGCAGCCAGTGGATTCAAATCACATGCCTTTCAGTAGGCAGCACAACTCTTTATCACTAAGTCATCAGAGCTCTCTGTTCTGTTAGATCACCTGTTTTTTTGTTGTTGTTTTTTTTTAATGGGAACAAGTATGAGTCTATCTCTTCCAGTCAGTTGGCCAGGTGGTGTCTTCCAAATTTCTCGGCATAGGCTAGTGAGCACACTTCTGTTTGTTATATCATTGATATTTCATCAATTCCTGGGGATTTTTTTTTTGTCACTGTCTTCAGTGCAGATTGAACTTCTTTAGTTACTATTGGTTCTTGATCCAAGTATACCAGTTTAAAAACTAAGGTCTTTAAGGGCAAAGATACCAGTTTAAGGACTAGGGTTCACCTGCTCCAAGTTATGGTCTCTTCCATTGTTTCCTAAGCATCTGAAAGTTGGGCAATGAATAAGGATGACAAAGGAAGAACCAATGCTTTTGTATGGTTTGTTGTTGTTGTTGTTTTGTTTTTCTCTGGAACAATAAAGCTTTCTATTCCCAATGTCACAGAACCAATGCCTTTGAACGGGGTTGTTGGGGACATGATTGGTATATCACGGACTGCTCAAAGAACAAACACATCTATCTTGGAGGAAATGCAGCCAAGATATTGCTTAGAAGCAAGGAAGGTGAAACTTGTTTCACAAATTTTGGGTGTGTTGTCAGAAAAGGCTGGTCTTTCGAAAAAAGACATGATGCTGAGAAAGGTAGAGGTCAACAAAATAGAAGACTCTCAATGAGCTTGAACAATGGGCTTGAGCATGGCTGAGACTGTGGCAATGGTGTAGAATATGGCAAGGTTGTAATCTGTTCTTCACAGGGTCACTGTGAGTCATGATCGACTTGAGGGCACTTAACAGTATTTCAAGAGGAGCTCTGGTGGCCTACTGGTAAGAAGCTTCACTGCATTCCCAAAGGCATGAGCTTCGAATCCACCAACATCTCAGCAGGAGAAGGATGGGAAATCTCCTTCTGCACAATTTATTGCCTCTGAAAACCTGATAGAGGGTCAGTTATGGGCCTATTCCAACTCCACAGCATACAATGACAACAGCATTTCAAATATGGTGCCCAATGACTTTTTTTCTTTTCAGCTATAATAATTCACATACAATAAAATCTACTCTTTTTTTGGGGGGGTTTTAGAATCTCTTGGTTTCAAAAACCAAACCAAAATAACAACAAAAATCTCAAGTATCTCAAACCGAGCAAATAAATAGCATTACATGGGTCTAACATGGGAATTTGAGAATGATAGAGGGGTAAGACACTGGGGTCACTCCCCGGCCTGTGTGGAGCCTATGCCTGGCTCAGAGTCAGCTGAGAAGACACCATGGAGCCACTGGACTTTTCTCTCAAGTCCAGGGAAGCAGAATAGAGCAGTTAGGTCACCCTTCCAAGCACAGTGGTGGGTCAAGGTCCCTTGGGAGGACTGCTCGGATCAGACGAGGAGCTGGTACAGGGGACCTCCAGCATCTTCTGACCACTGGCACAGGGTGGGGACAGCTGGGACCCCATCCCTAGCAGCACAATGCTTTCCAAGTTAGCTGCTGGTCTTGAGCTCCATTCCACATGGATGAGGGTCCCGAGATCAGGAGCAGTATTATACCTCAGGCTACGTGACCAGGGGAATGTGGAACTCGTTCGTGTCGAAGATGAGGGGCCGCGTGGGAGGGTTCGGGTCCCTGTCAGCCTTGTGCAGCAGCTTGAAGAACCCAGTGCCAATGTTCATCGGGATTCCCATGATGATGCACTCAGATACTCCACACACGGAGTCCTTCTGCCCAAAGTAGGCTGCATCAAAGAGGTGGTCAGCTGTCTTCTCAAAGGACGCCAACATCAGCACACTCTCCTTCATTTTCGCCAGGCCAAACCTTGTGATGCCTAGGACTTCACCCTTGTAAGTCATGAGGTCAGAGAGCAGCATCACGTGCCGCCTGTCGATGCTCATGCCATGGTTGACCATTGTGTACTGGATCTCATTGATGATCGTTGTCCGCGCAGCTTCAATGCCCAGTGTCTTCTCCACCTCATAGGTGTTATTGGAGGTGGTTCGGGTGCCCTTCACCCCGTGCGTCGCCATGACAGCTCGGAGGTTGTCACCTTCCACCAGAAGCTTGTACTTCTCTTTGCCACTCTGCTCGTCGATGTGAATGACAGCTCTGGACACCTCCGGGATGCCTTGCACCACCACCTTGGGGAGATCCTCCTTCAGGAACTGCAGCACATAGTACATGGAGCTCTTACTGTTCTCTCTGGGGGTGACACACACCACAGCTTCGCCGTGCACAGCCACGTCTCCAGGCTTCACGCGGAGCTTGGATGTGCAGATGGAGTACCGCACTGTCTCAGCATTCACTTCCAGTCTCAGAAGTCTAATCCGTTCCAAGGAGAGCTTGACAAGAATAAAGCAATCATCCGGAAGGAACACTTCTTCAATATATTCAGAAATCTCTCCCAAGAGGGTTTTCTCAATTCTCCCTTTCACTAGACGAGCATAATCAGCATCGTCATCCTTGTCCAGCTGAGCTGTGATGATTGGAGTGCTGATGGCCTTGGAGGCATTGATGATCTCTTTGATTCGGGGCACGCCCAGTGTGATGTTCATGGAGGCCACCCCCGCGAAATGGAAGGTCTTCAGGGTCATCTGCGTGCCTGGCTCGCCAATGCTCTGTGCACAGAGTGCGCCCACTGCAGAGCCCGGCTCCATCTGGGCCCTCATGTACTTGTCCCTACAGGTCTCCAGAAACTTTTCTATCTGGGTCGGGGTGATCCGGTCCAATTGGTACAACACACGAGGCTCAGTTGTGCCATTATCATTGATGCCATATTTATCTCTGGTTTTCTTGATCTTCTCAGAAACCCCTTTGATGAATTTCTTTATTTCCTGGAGGAAGCTGTCCTGGCAGCAAAGGAACTCGTTCTTCTTCATGATGGACTCCATGGTCAGGGTCAGCTCATTCTTACTGAGAGCAAGCTCATTCCGACACGGGAACACTGCTTTGATGTTGTCCAGAACCCTTTTAAACTCTAAGGGTTCATCTTTTCCCTCCATAGCTGCAGGATCTAAGCCATCTCCCCCATAGATGAACTGGATAATATCTCCGGTGGAGCTTCGGACAGTCAAGTCATACTGTGAGCAGAGATCTTCCAGGTACTTGACCAGCCGCCTCTGCATGTATCCTGTTTCAGCTGTCTTTACGGCTGTGTCAACCAGGCCTTCCCGGCCAGCCATCGTGTGGAAGAAAAATTCAGTTGGTGTCAAACCAGAATAAAAGCTATTAGCCACAAAGCCTTTGGCAGCTGGGAGCTTGGAGTGCTTTTCGAAGTGAGGCAAAGACCTGTTTTCAAAGCCATCTGGCACTCGAGAGCCACTGATGGCCTGCTGCCCCACACAGGCAATCATCTGTGATATGTTAATGAAAAATCTACTCTTTTAAAGTGTAAAATTAAGTGATTTTAACATATTCATAAAATTGTGCAACCGTTAGTAATATCTAGAAAAGAAGACCTATAGCCATTAAAAATCACTCCACAACCTCTTTAATCCAGGTAACTATTAATCTACTTTCTGGCTCTTAAGGATTTGCCTACAAATGGATTTATGTAATAAGTATTCTTTGGAGCCTTTGTGACTGGCTTCTTTCACAAGGTATAATGTGTTCAAGCTTCAACTATTTTGTATCATTTATCAGTGCATTATTCTTCCTTATGGCTGAATAACATATGGCTATACTAAGGCGCTTTGGTGGCCTACTGGTAAGAAGCTGAACTGCAATCCCAAAGGCATGTGGTTCTGCAGGGAAAAGATGGGCAATCTCCTCTCATGCAATCTACTAATGAAAAACCCACCGGTGGGTCAGCTATGGGTCAGTGCCAACTCAATAACTCACAACAACAACAACATGGCTATCCCAGAGAGCTCTGGTGGTGTAATGGAAAAGGAGTTGTACTGCCAAGCCAAAGACACCAAACAAGTTCAAATCCACCAGCAGCTTCATGGGAGACGGATGGGCAATCTCCTCCCATGCAGTTAACTGCTTCTGAAAACACACTAGAGAGTGAGCTATGAGTCAGTTCTGACTCCATGGCAATGAGGTTTCCATTTGAGGTTGGTTGTTTTTTCTGTTTTTTGGGGTTTTGGTTTTTTTTTTTTTAGATGGATATACCACATTTTGTTTACTTATTTATCAATTATTGGGTATTTTGGGTTGTTTTCAGTGTGGGACTATGGTGAAATAACTTTTTGCTGTTTCCCAAGAGATTTCTGTGTGAGACACAGAAGACAAAAAGGTTGAGCGGGTAAAAGGCAGCGTGAGTGATCCAGATTCTTTCCAAAATGGTTCAGTCCATGAAAGGGTGTGCATGGTTTTCTGTATGACTAGCCTGCAAGGGAGCCTCTGTTTCTCATAGAAGACTATTAGAACTGCCTGGGGCAGCTCATGCATTTTCCTATCACGGCTGCTAGCTGGTCTGCTAGCTGGTGGTTGTTGTTATGCGCTATTGAGGCAGGACCAACTCATAGCTGAGCTTCCAGTGTGTTTTCAGAGGATGTGGATAACCCAGGAAGAGAATGCCCAAGGTCCCCATGTCCATGTGTCTCTGGATTGGTAGCACAGCTCCTTACCTCTAAGTCACCAGAATTCCTCAGTCACAAGGTAGATTAAAAATAGCTATTGCATAAAGGAAAGATTACATAAACCCAAGAATACGGGAAGGAACCTTTACGGATTTGGGCCCCAGTGCAAATGTAGGAATCCACAGCACAAGCCTTTCTCAAGCAAGAAGGGGACAGGAGTTTACACAACCCTCTTATGTAGTACAGTTTCAAAATTAGGCTACCTTACAAATAATTAGTGTTCTAACAAACTACAACAACCAAGCTACAGAAATGAGAGAGGAGAAAATAAAAACCCAGGAAAGTCACCAAAGGCTAGATTGTATTGGTGAACTCACACTCCTGAACGCTCATCCTCCTCAGCTACTATCATGTGGCTGGCACAATGGAGAGGTAATGTAGCTCAAAGTAAAAAATAAAATAAATATCCACAAGCTCTGGTGGCCTGGTGGCAAGTAGCTGCACTACAATCCCAGAGGAGCATGGTTCAAATCCACCAGATTCTTTGCTGGAAAAGGAGTGACAATCTCCTCCTGTGCCAGTCAGATCTGATTTGACAGTACAAAATAATAAAATAAAATAAATTAAAAAAATGAAAGAATGCTTTTAAAAAAAATAACATCCAAGAGCCCATCCATGCCTGGGGGAATATTCTCTACTTAAAATATCTGAATGAACCCTTTCATGATTTTTTTCAGGAATCAGCTTTGTGCCTGCCCTTCCCCAGCTGAACGTCCAGGAAATTCTCTGTCGCCTGAACGCATGCAGCCCTCAAGGCATTGTGGTCAGTGAGGCTATGGTCCCAGTTGTGGACACTATCGTGTCTAACTGTTCCACCTTGAAGACCAAGCTTTTGGTGTCTGATAAAAGCCATGATGGGTGGTTGGATTTCAAGAAGTTGATTCGGTGAGTGGACACTGAATTAAAAAGAAAATGCTCGATTTGAGAAGATAGGGTGATGGATCAGAGGTTTTGATAGAGTTCAGACTGATATCATTTCTGGTAGAAAATGGGTAATCCTGAACCCAAAGTTCCCCACATCAACAAACATTCCTGGTTTTCTTTGCAAGTTAGTTGGAATGAAAATTTCATCTGATTCATAATTAGGGGGTTATTCTAGGAAAGGGTTAAGAGTGTAATGTAAATTACAAGTAAGTATATTTCAAAACAACACTCACCTACTCAATCTCACTTACAAATAGGAAAATATTGATTAAAGCAGTGGGGTAATTCCATTTTCACCCATTTTTAGCCAACTATTATTATTTCTGTGTTCAGAGATACAGAAGCAAACCAGACATGAACATTCTCTGTCCTCATAGAGGTTATATTCTAGACAATAAAGAAAAAAACCATAAATTATCAAGATAATACAGATTCCAAAAGGAGTTAGAAAATAACCAGGATGATTAGGTAGCGTGACCAGGTGCAGGGATGGGGAAATTATTCTGCATTTGGTGAGAACAGACAGGAAGTACAAAGAGTGATATTTGCTGTGGGGATTGCAATCCATTCACAGAACAAAGTCTGTGAAAAAGAATTCTCAAATGGAAAACCAACAATTTTCTCTGTAAACTTTTATCCAAATCAAAACAAAAATTTAGAAGAGGAAGAAAGATAAGGAGAGGAATCTTGTAGAAGGGCGCTCAAATTGCTCATATGAGAAACTATTGTGATATAAACTAAGAGGATAATAATGGAGACAGAGCTAGGAATAGAGTGAGGTAAAGTTGGTACTTGCTTCAAGCACAGAATTTAAATTGGCACCCCAAAAAATCCAGTAAGATAAATAACGTGTTAGATCTCACTAGATGCCTTTGAGTTGTGATGCTGGAAAAGAGCATTGAACATACCATGAACTGCCAAGAGAACAAACAGGTCTGTCCTGGAGAGGGTAAAACCAAGCTATGACTTGGAGGCCAGGATTTTGAAGCTCCATCTCATATATTTTGAGCATGTTACCAGAAAGGACCAGACATTGGAGAAGGACCTCATGCTTGGGAGGATGAAGGGAGAATGCAGGAGAGGAAGACCCCGGATGAGATGGATTGATACAATAACTGGGGAAATGGAAGGTAGGTGTGTCAGAGACAGTGAGATTAGCTCAGGATAGGGCAGGGTTCAGAGCTGTTTTGTATAGAGTTGATTTGATGGCACATAACAACAACAACCCTTAATTTCCATGACTCTGAGACCATAAGAACTCAGTAGTACTCAGTCCAATTAGTAATTGCTCTGAAAAGAATCAAAATAGGAGGTCTTGGTTAAAGTGGGAGAAAAATGTGAAACAAAACTCAAACCCACAATAATGCCATGGTTTACTGGTCTGACAGAGACTAGTGTACCCCTGAAATGTTGGCCCTTAGCCATCCTTTGAACCTGGAGCTGAACTCACCTCGGTGTCACTTAGATCTGTAAGATGAACAATAACATCAGGGAAGTACTCAGTCCTTATAACTATCAACAACAACACAGGATCATAAGGGCAGCATTTGTCCAATGATAAAGCTCAGAGGTAAGAAAAAAGAGAGGTTGGAGGGATAAATGTAATAAGAACTACAGAGAGATAGTGGAAAGAGTGTGGGTATAATATGAGATTGTGATATCTGTCATAAAACAAAATAGGTGTGAACAGTTTAGTGGAATATCAATCTGTGCCAACCATACACATTCTCTCAAATCCTAATAAATATATTTTTTAAAAAATGAAAGGGCTGTTGTTGTTAGGTACCATCGAGTTGAGTATGACTCATAGCAACTCTATGAACAATAAATCTGAACCCTGTCCTCTCCTGTGTGTCCTTCATTATTTCTGACATACTCAAGCCCTTTGCTTCAGTCACTGTGTCAGTCCACCTGGCTGAGGGTCTTCCTCTCCTTTACTGCCCCTCCACCTTTCCAAGCTTGCTGTCTCTCTTGAAGGAATAACCTCTCCTAGCAAGATGCACAAAGTATGTGAGCTGAACCTTCATCATTGTTGCCTCCAAGGATCACTCTGGCTGCTCCTTCTCCCAGAAGGAGTAGTACCACTATAAAAAAGGTAAGTTAGCCTTGTCATTTTAGCAATAAGATTAAGTTGCAAAATAATTTTAAATTTTATTTAATCTTTGACTGTTTTTTTTCTATGACTATTTTTATACATAAAGTTTTATTGGGACCAAGGGTAAAGCGAGGGTCACCAAGGAAGCCGGTTCACCCAAGTGCTAGGTTGGGTCTATATTTATAACTTTGATTTGTTGCTCAAGGCTAATTTTTTTAAAAATTGATTTTGATCCTTAGGGGAAAAAAATACAGCATTTAGCATTACTACTGAGTTTGCTATGTCTCCTTACATTTCATATCAGAAACAAATGCTTCCCTTGCCTCCTTAGTTCTGGTTCTAAGTGGAGGTGGTGATGAGGAAGACTTATGATAGGTTTTGGAGGTAGAGCTGCAAGGGCTTGTCAGTGATTAAATAGTTCAGATAGGTAGGTAGGTAAGGCAGAAGAAGAGATACAAAAAGAAATGTTATCATTTTTTCACTTGAGCAATTGGATAAATAAAGATCCTCTTACCAAGAAAAGTAAGACTGCAGTGTAACTGCATCTTACACTTATGCAAAAAGCTGATGCAAATATTTGACAAAGGAAAAACAAATTATCCCCCAACATCCAGTACAGCCATGAAAGCCACCATCTGTCTAGGGAAGAAACCTATCAGGAAAGGAAAATGTGAATACTTTGCACTAATAATACAGGGTGAAGGGGAAAGAGATAAGACTGCAACTGCCAGTTACAAAAAAATGCTTAAGACCCAGAGAAACAAGATTGTTCCAGTTGAGTTCTGGCTCTCAAAGGTTTCAGTCCATCAAAGATAGAAGATGTTGTTTTTCAAAAAAGCAAAGATCTCCAAACGGAATTTAGAATTCACTGCTGCCTCTTCTGTAATTTCCAGGGTTGTCCTTCCAAAGCAAAGCTTTGTGGATACCAGGAGCCAAGATCCAGTGGTTCTCTTCTTCACCAATAAAACAGCTGGAGCTCTTCAACCAGTCAGCTACTCTCAATACGGCTTAGGAGTGGCTTCCAGCCAGACTGCAAGGTACAATCATCAAACTCTATCTAGGGGGTAAAGGAAGAATTTCCTGGGATCAAAGTTAAGAAAGTTGTCTTACCCAAGATTCCAATCCAGTATAAAGAGAGAGGGCAGGGTTGAAAGCAGAGTTGGAGGGTCTACACAAAAAGCTAAAAAGTGAACTGAGCCAGAAATCGAAAAGTTTGAGAAGAGAAAGGGAAGAATCGTGTATGAAAGGATCCACAGCAATGACTCAAAAGACACGCTGTTGTGTGTTGCTTATTGTTCTGTGATCCAAGTACCACAGTAAACGAGGATATACAGATAAAGGCAGGGGTGGGAGAAAGTACATGAGGGACAAATGCAAGCAGTTTGACTTTTATAGGGAGTTTATGAGTTCTACAGTAAATACCTAAGATGAAAAACACACATGTCCTCAAACTGCACTTTAAAAACAGTCTGTAAATAGGTCATAAAATGCAAGACACATGATTTATGAATACTGATACTATTTTACAAGACAGTTTCTCCCACACCATTAAAACAGACTGTAATCTATATTGTTGTCTATGTTGTTGTTGTTATATGCCATCGAGTCACCTGCAAATCATAGTGCAACAGCCCTAAACCCTGCTCTATTTTGTGCCAACCTTATTGTCTCTAACACACATACCCTCATTATCCCAGTCACTTGAAAAGATGAAGTAAAATATTACAATGAAATGTGTGAAGAACTGGAGTCAGAGAACAAAAAAGGGAAGAACCCACTCAGCACTTCTCAAGCTGAACGAAATGAAAAACAAATTCAAGCCTCCAGTTGAAATACTGAAAGATGCTATACAAGACCTCAAATGATCCAGGAAGCATCAAAAGAAGATGGAAGGTATACACAGAGTCACTATAACAAGAAGAATTGGCTGATACTAAAATTCCAGGAAGTACCACCTGAACAAGAGGTAATGGTAATAAAGGAAGAGGTTCAAGCTGCATTGAAAACATTGGCAAAAAAATAAAGCTTCAGGAACTGATAGGATACCAGTTGACATGTTTCAATTAACAGATGCAACCCTGGATGACTCACCAGTGTATGCCAGCAAATTTGGGGGAAAGTTACTTGGCTGAAAGTGATCCACATGTGTTTTTGTTCCCATTCCCAAGAAAGATGATCCAACAGAATCAGGACATTATCAAAAAATAGCATATATTACTATTACTGAAGATCATCCAAAAAATGGCTAGGGCAGTACATGAACAGGGAACTTCCAGAAGTTGAAGCTGAATTTAGAAGAGGCTGTGCCACCAGAGATATTATTACTGATGTCAGATGAATCCTGGCTGAAAGCAGAGAATACCAGAAGAATGTGTATTTTATTGACTGTCAAAGGCATTTGACTCAGTGGATCATAACAATTTATGATTAATAGTGAAGAATGGGAATCAATAACACTAAATTGTGCTCATATGAAATCTATACTTAGAAGTATAAATACCTAGAATCTGCTCAAACAGAATTAGGGAACAATGCATGATTTAAAATCAGGAAGGGTGTATGCAAGGGATGTATCCTTTCTTTATACCTATTCAATCTGTATCCTAAGCAAATAATTCATGAAGCCCTTCATCTCCATTCAAGAAAAATATAGCATCGTGATCAGAGGAAGACTCATTAGCAACCTGCGCTATGCAGATGGTACAGACTTGCTTGCCAAGAGTGAAGAGGACTTGAAATGCTTGCTGTATAAGATCAAGGACTGCAGCCTTCAATATTGATTATATCTATACACCAAAATAAAAAAAAAAAAGTCCTCACCAATGGGCCAATAGGCAACATCACGGTAGATGGAGAAAGGATTTAAATTGTCAATTATTTTGTCATGCTTGAATCCATAATCAACACCCTTGATACCAGCAGACAGGAGATCAGGAGACGTATTGCACTGCCAAGTCAGCTGTCACGGATCTCTCCAAAATACTGAAGAATAATGATGTCAGTGTGAAGATTAAAGTGCACCTGAAGTAGGGTTTTCAATCTCTTGTTACACATCTGAAATCTGGACAATAGACAATCTGGGCAATAGAAGAATTGATGCCTTGGAGTTGTGGTGCAGGAGAAGAGTACTGAATATTCCAGGGACTGCCGAAAGAACAAACAGATACATCTTGGAGAAGGTGCAGCCAGAGTGCTCCTTAAAGGCAAAGATGGCCAAGTTTCATCTGTCATACTTTGGGCATATTGCTATTCCTTGGACGAGGACATCATGCTTGGAAAGGTGAAGGGTCAGCAAAAAAGAGGAAGACCCTTCAGCTAAATGGATAGACACAGTGGCTGCAGCAATGGGGTCAAGTGGGTCAGAGTTGATGAGGATAGGACAGGGTTCAGGTCTGTTGTTCACAGGGTCACTATGAGTTATATTCAACTCAACAGCACCTAGCAATAACATTGTTACTGTCACTGTGTCAGTCCATCGTGTTAAAGGTCTTCTCCTTCTCCGACCCTCCACCTTTCCTGACACTATGCCGTTCTCTAAGGATTAGTCCCTCCTGACTAACATGCCCAAAGAATATAAGGTCGACGCTTCAGCATCCATGCCTGTAAGGAGCACCCTAATTGCACTTCCTCCAAGAAAAACTTGTCTGGTCCTTTGATAGTTCATGGAATATTCAGTACCCTTCTCCAACACTATAATTCAAATACACTGATGCTTCCTCTGTCTCCCTTATTCATTGTAACAGTCATTTACATTATAATGTAAAATCTAGGATTACAGTGTTTCCCAATTCCAATAGTTCTGTACTCCCCAATTCCACCTCTCTTTCAGTGTTAACACCTTAACCACACACATCAGCATTATTGGAGATGCAAGAGAGGTCCAGATACTCCCCAGAGGGCTAGAACTTGCTCAGAGGCCTAACTCAAACATATTAAGATATAAGATACAAGCAAGAAAGTTATATATAAATGTAGGGCCATGGAAAACATCTTGACTTAAAGAGATCAGTTGAAGTGCAGGACTTGAAAGCAGACTTGAAATTTTTTTTAATTATAAACTCTAGATTCACAGCCGATTTAAGTGTGATACTTAGACACCCATCATGCTCTGGTCTCTGGGACAAAAAGAGCACCACACACACATGCGCGCGCGCGTGCGCGCATCACAGCACCCACAATGGGTGCCATGTAAATTGTATGAAGGAGAAGAAATGAGAAATGAAGAAGAAACTAGATGGCCTTGAATAAGAGAAAAAAGTTTGGCTTTTATCTTGGCAGTAGTGAAGAGGCATGGAAAGTTTCTTTTTTCAAACACAAGAAAAATGTCATCATCAGAAGAATTTTCTAGAACATGAGATGATAAGACCAGAAAGGATGGGCAATCTCTTCCTATGTAACTTACTGCCTCTGAAAACCCATTGTAGGATCAGCTATGAGTTGATTCTAACTCAACTGCACATAACAACAACAACATATGTTTGACATGGAAAGATCTTTGTTTATGAAAACAAGTAGTGCAGTATAGTATGCATTGTATGTTACCTATCAATTCTTTAGGAGAAATATTTAATATTGGTGTTTAGTGTGTAAAGCAGTACCATATATATGAACTTTATTGTTATTGTTTTTAGTTATCATTGAGTAGATTCCAACCCATGGTGACCTCATGTACAGCGTAGAAGTGTTCCATGGAATTTACCTTCCAGAAGTACTTTATTAGAACTGTCTTCCAAGATGTCTCTAGAGGAATTTGAACCACCAGTCTTTTAGCTAATAATCAAACATTTACTAGTTTAGAATTTATTTTTGTTATTGCTAGCTATTAGCACAAGAAAATTCAGATGTTTCTCATCTTCTTTATTAGACAGTGGATGAATCTCCAGTCAACAGATGTCATGTGGAGTTTGGGTGATCCCTTTGGTGGAACCTTATCACTGAGCAATGTCTTGGGAGCTTGGCTTCAAGGAGCCTGTGTGTTTCTGCATCACATGCCAATCTTCTGCCCTGAGACTGTTCTGAATGTAAGACCAAGTCCCTGTGTACAGTGGAGCAAAGATCAGAAAGGAAGTATTAGTGAGTGACACATGTCCAAATGTGGTGACTCAAGAACTAAATTTGGAATGGGATCTTTACTTGACAGTGTTCTCCCTACTTCTGAGAGCCATGTCCTCACAATTTTATGGATCTTTCTGAACTAAATTGACTGGCTACTTCATGTGTATCACTGGAATGGAGATGTTTAAAAGGCAATAATTACCATGATATTAAGAGTATGTCATATGCTACCATTTACTGACCCAGTAAGGACTGGCAGGCACTTCATGGTCATTATTTCATTTCCTCTACCCATAAAACTCTTACTTGTATAAGCCTTTTTGAATTAAGGTAACTCAAAAGTAAATCAAGATAACTCAAAAGGGAAAGCTAAGGCCAAGAAAGTTTCTGTAACCAGCCTGAGGAATCTGTTGAACTCCAGAGCATGGTCTCTACCAGAGCACAGACTCCACTTTGCTGGGCAATCCAGAATTTAACTGACAACATATAGGCTTACTGTTTACAAATTTGAATGTTTGGAAGCAGGCATGGCATCCACTTCCTAAACAGCATGCCTCTGGAAACTCTATAGACTTTGAGAAACGACGATAGTTGTAGAAAGGCGTCAGGTCTTTTTGTTCAGAGGGTCATTATGAGTCATGCTTGACTTGACGGCAATCAACAACAATGTGACAGAGCAGAATTGTCCCATAGGGTTTCCAACAAACTTTTGGGATCCAAGCATAAATATTTAATCGAGTATATATTCAATTATGCAGTCATTAACACGACAGTTTCTAAACCCTCTCAAATTACCAGGTAAGTCAAGCTTCATTTTCTTCCAAGATTCAAGTCTTGAGGCAAGAAATCTTTGAGTCCTTTTTGGGGTTTTTTTGACAATATATAATTATGAGGTTTATTAGGGAAATGAGAGATTACAACTCAGATTGGGAACCCTAACATACAACTTGTCAATGAGGCCAGCTTCTTCTCAGGTGGCTTTCAAGCAGGACTCTCTCTGGTCTTACAGTTCTAAACTCTGCCCTATGTAATTGACATGAAGTTCTTTCACTTGCCAGATATGCGTGTCTCACCCTCCACACACTTGGCCAATGAGCCTAAGTCAAGGCATTAGGCTCTGGCCCTGATCTAGTTCAACTTTATATTCCATCAATCCTCTTAATGATTCTAAAAAAAATCACTTAGTAGAGTGTTGCAGTTAGATAGCCTTGCCCTTTTACCCTGGACCCTTTCCCCCCAAGTTTTTCTATGTTTCCCATCTGCACTCACTGTTTTGGTTTTTCCTTTCTTGGTAGCCCAGGCTTTGTCCAGATTTCCCATCACCACTCTCTCTGGAAATTCAAGAATGTATCAAGAACTCCTTCAGCATCAGCATTTCACTAGGTAAGCGAAGATATCACCAGAGAAAGTGCATTTCCACCCATAGGACAAGAAATAAGACTGTCGTTGTGTGACATCGAGTTGATTCCATCTTGCGGGAATTCTGTATGATACAGTAGAGCTGCCGCATAGTGTTTCCAAGTCTATAATCTTTGTGGTAGAAGATCACCAGGTCTTTTCACCAACAGAGCATGATGAGTTCAAACTACTAACATTTTCACTAACAACTTTCATCACAAGGATTATACAATTTGTTGACAAGATCCCCATCCCACTCTTCATTGGCACTTATATCTTCTTACCACTTGTGAAACTATTCCACTAGATTGTGGAATGTTTTTTAAATCTTTGCCATTTTTGAAGCTTGTATCTTCTGAATCCTCTGTTGTCAGATTGATTCTGATTTACAGTGACCCTCTACTAACTTCCAAGACTCTAAATCTTTATGGGAGAAGACAACCCATCTTTCTCCGCCTAAATGACTAGTGGGTTCAAACTACTGACCTCTTGATTAAAAGGCAAATATGTTAAGCATTATCTGTCTTGAAAGAAATACAGTCAGAGTTCCTTTTAGAAGCAAAGATGATTAGACTTTGTCTTCATACTTTTGCCACATTATAAAGAGGGGCCAGTGCCTGGAGAAGGCTTCAAGTTTGGAAAAGTAGAGGGCCGGCACAATAGAGGAAGACCCTCCATGAGATAGACTGACACAGTGATTGCACCAACAGGCTTGGGCACAGTGGAGAGCACAGAGATTGTGTAAGATTGGGCAGGGGCTTAATTCTATTTTACTTAGTGTCACTTTGAGTCAGAGTGGACTTGAGGACACCTTCAGTAACTCATCTTCTGACTCCATAAGATTCCAGAATACAAAATTCAATTGTAATCAGAAAGTCGGGTTTGTTTAAGCAATTTATAATTTATGTCTCTTTGTAAAAAGAAAAGAAAACATCACTAAGAACATTATCTGTAACTAAATTTTAAAAAAGGAAGGTACAATAGAACATGGGTTAGATCTGTTGTTCATAGAATTGTTCTGAGTCATAGAGAGACCTCTGTTGACCTAATGGATAGAAAGTTATGCTACCAAGACAAAGGTGGGTGATTTTAATCTGTGGTCCTCAGGCCTGGTTTTAATTGGTTTTGAACTTTCTTCTAAGTGGTATAGCACTGGTCTGTCAATTTGCTGTACAGCGGTAACTCATGGTTACTGTGATGCTATAACACTGATGTATCAAATATGGTAATGGTTACCCATGGTGGACAGTGTTTGTTTGAGCTCCCAAATTTAAAAAAGGAATGGAGGCAGGAGTGGCACCCACTTATGAAATAGCTTGCTTCCAGAAAATCTATGAACATGGAGAAACAATGGAAGTTATACAAGTGTTCAGGTCTTTAATTCATAGGGTCGCTATGAGTCATCTACTACTTGATGGTACTTAACAACAACAACAGCAACTACAGGTAAATGTTAAAGGCTAAGACAACACTTCTATTGACTATAACCCCTTCTAAACCTGTTTATTCTGTTTAGGTCACCTTTAAGGAATTGTGCTGATAACTCAAAGACTGAGCCTATCTGACAGTTTAAATCCACCGTTGACCTCTATGGAGAAAGATGGGCAATTTCCTCCTATGCAATTTACAGCTTTGGAAACCCAATAGAGGGTCAGCTAGGAGTTAATTTCAACTCAATGATAATTGGTTAACAATTTTTAAAATAAATTTCTATTTTTTCTATTTTTTTGTATGTTGTTCTTGCATGCATCTAGTCAGAACTGACCCATATCTGACCCCTGCAGTGGGTTTTCAGAGATAGTAAATCGTTCAGGAGGAGATTGCTCAGCCTTCTTTCAGGGAGCAGCTGATGCCTTTGGGATTGCAGCACAGTTTCTTACCACTAGGCTTTCAGAGCTCACTATTTTTATATATCTTGTATGTACCATCAAGTTGAAACTGAAGCTGGCTCATAGATGACCCTCCAGCAGGTTTTCAGAGACAACTAATCACATGAGAAGTCACTGTCTATCCTTCTGTGGAACAGCTGGTGAATTTGAACTACATGCCTTTGGGATTCTAATATTGTAGAGAGATTCTATACATGATATCTTTTTGCTGTTATAATAGAAAGAGCGGATTTTAACAAAAATTTTAACAAGTAAAATTATATTCTATCATAGCTGCGGAGGCTAGAAAGCTGGATTTGAGTTGCCTGTGTTAGAGGAAGACTTTTTCCTCCTTCTGTTGAATCTGGAGGAAAGTCCTTATCTCTTTTTTATTTCCTACAAGATATCCATGTATCTTGGCATCAGCCTTCTTCTGAGTCTAGGAGATACAAAGACTGTGCACTACTCCCAGCTTCTTTGTGACCATCTGGTCCCACCTTCTCTGCTTGTTTCTTTCTCTTTTATTTCTTGTAAGAGAAATGGTGATGATGGTCATACTGCAAGGGAACTCCCCTTACATCAATCAAGACTGTTACTAGAGTAGGGGGATTGTATCTCACCCTAACCCTCTTATAGCTGATTGGCTGAACACCTCAGATCACAACATGAGGGATAATTACATCATTACATAACTGCCAAATCACAAATAATCATTATCCTGAGTGCATGCCCTTGACTACAGGATACTGAGAATTTGAATTGCTTATTATCAGCAAAAATTAATGAGAAATCACATGATCTAAGGCATTGGATAAAGCTTTGGAATTTTAGAAATGATCGTTTAAGTATCACTTATAGTGATGTGGCAAGGGCATACACTCTATAAAAGGAAGCATTTATATGGCAAACTATAGAGCTCTGGTAGCCTAGGGGTAAGGAGTTGTCCTGCTAATCAAAGTCAGACAGTTCAAGTCCACTAGGGTATAGCCTCTGAAACCCCACTGGAGAGTCACTTATGAGTCAGTTATGACTCAACAGCACACAACAACAACACGAAGAAAACACCAGATCAGCTCATCTCATTGGCATTTTACCTAGTGACTAAAAATATAGTTCTATCCTAATAAAATCTATCTTCATCCATTGACATTACATCATCATATAAAATATTCAGATTATTTTTACACATTTAATAGTAAAACTTTAAAAATACAGTCAATACTTAATTGTGCCTTAAAATGAATAATAATATAAAATTAATGATCTAACAATGGCTTTGGAAGAAATTCACAACTAGATCTCCAATTTTTATCTTTCTTAGTCTCCAGAAATGATTGGGTAAAGGAAAGAAGTAGATATTACATAATCACTAATTGACACTCCCATGTTCAAATTACAGGTGATCATTCTGCTTCTATTTGAGGTGACAATGAGGGTTTTTCTACTCCTTTTTTTTTTACAATGAGTTTTGCTTTGACCTTCTTCAATACCTGACCTTTCCACCATCACCATCATTAAATACATGTGAAATGATTTACAAGTTTACAAAAGGTGTTTATTAGAATTCTATCTACAACTGGGCATGGTAGAGATTTTGCATAATATCTGGAGCCGAACACACACACAAAAAAATAAATTTAAAAAAACCCCCAAAACAATACTCTCTTTCCATCCCCAGATTTCAGGAAACTCACTTTTGGCACAGCCTTCACATATGGGCATATTTGAAATCCACAAGTTCTGCGGAAAACATAAAAAATTTTTAGCAGAAGGCTGGCTTCTTTCCATCAATCCACACTATTATTTGGTTAATTCATCTTAATACTAATATTTATTTATAGAAAAATAAATTCATGTCTCCATGTTGTTGTTGTTCAGTGTCATTGAGTCAAGTGTGACTCGTAGCGACCTGATGAAAAAAAGATCTGAACCCTGTTCTATAACTATCATTTCTCTAGTGTCCCCAGGGTTTCCAAAGGCCTGTTATTTAAAAATTTGATGCCAATCCTGCTTCCAAGTCTGACTTAATCTTGGAGCTCTGCCAAACCCTATCCACCATGGATAACCATTATGGCATTTGAAACACCAAAGGCACAGCATTCAGTATCACAGCAACCCAAAGTTACTTCAGTACAGCAAAGTGACAGACTAGTGCTCTACCTCTTAGAATGTTCTCCTCCTGTCTCCACGTAGATTGGTCCAATTCAGATGCCAGAGTAGATTATCTAATAGAATAGTAACAAGAGCATCAACTACCATGTACTCCTGGTTTCACTGTGTGTACCTGAATGGTCAGCAGTTTGAATCCACCAGTCTTTTTAAAGGAAAAAGAAGGAAAATCTCCCATAAAGATTTAGAGCCTCAGAAATCCTCTGGAGGATCACCATGAGTTGGACTCAGTGACCATTAGGTCTTGGTTTTACATGTTTGATAAGAGCCTTGTTGGTCCAGTGGATCAAGCATAGGATTGGTGGTTTAAATACATCAGTCATCCCATGGGCAGAAAAAAAGGTGACAATCTGCTTCCATAAAGACGTACAGCCATGGAAACTGTGTGAAGCTATATTCTGTCACACCGATGAATGAACTTTACATCAGTGGGTTTGTTTGGAGGGTTTTGGCTGTATCTTTGGCAATATCTGCATCACCTTTACCACAACTATTACTTAATCCAGATTTCCTTAAAATGGTTATTTATAGAAATATTCACCATGCCTAAGAATAACTTTTTACGCCTCTCCAGTTACAGATTCAAGAATCTGAAGCATTGTGTGGCTGCAGGAGGATCCATCAGCCCTGAGACGATCAAAGACTGGAAAGACATGACTAAGTTGGACATCTTTGAAGGCTATGGGAAGACTGAAACTGTAGGTTGATGCTGAGTCACAACTTAACCAGATAGCTGACAATATTTATCCACTACATAAGGACTCTGTTAAACCACTAGACATCACTAGAAATATGGACAGCTGGATTCTAAGCACAGGAAGAATTAGATTGAAACTAGATGAGAGACCTTTCATTCCATGACAAGACAAAGTGTTACGAGAACAGTCAAATATAGCTAAAAAAGAGAGCTAGTTCTTATGCAATGACTCTTATTTTTTTTTTCTGTAAAGTAGGAGACAATGCTATATGATGAGAATAGGGAAAGTGGTAGGGCAAAAGTAAGAGTTGTTGTTGTTGTTGTTATGTGCTGTCAAGTTGTTTGCAACCCTATGTACAATAATCCTATAACCTGCTCTATCCTGTGCCAACTTTACTGTCTCTGACACACCTACTCTCATTACCCCAGTCACTGAATCAATCCATCTCATTGATGGTCTTCCTCTCTTTCTCTGTCTCTCCACCATTCCAAGGATGATGTCCCTTTCCAAAGACTGGTCCCTCCTTGCAACATGCTCAAAGTAGTATGTCAGAAGAAGCCTCAGAATCTTTGCCTCCAAGGAGTAGCCTTGTTTCACCCTCTCTAGAATGTTTAAAATCTACCATGACAGACACAAGGGGGGAAAAAACACACACACAGATTATGGACACACAAGAGAAATATAGGGATTCAGGAAACATTTTATGCTATAGATAATAATTTTGAATGTCACTCATCTGCATAAGTTCATGATTATTCTTGAATAGTACTCAAAAAGGTAGATGTAGACATGGTGAGCGTGGACAGTTTGCTTGACTCAGAATTAGGGTCTGTCAAGCAAAAGAGCAAATGGACAAGGAATCTAATATTAGCAAGAAAATAGTTGACGTGAAAGACTAAGCTGGTTAGGAAAAGACATGAACTCAAGAAAAATGGAGAAAGACTAAGTGCTGGTGATGTCAATAGTGCCCAAAAATAAGTGTAGAGGAAGTAACTAAATAAGAGAGCTGGAAAGACTACAGGTAACAGTGAAAAAAGTGGATACATGGACTTATTATTTCAGAGGCGGGCATTTATATAGGTGATGCCGAAGTCCAGGGCATGATAATGTGAATTAAGTGTTATGAAGTTTCTGGATGTGAGAGTCGAGGAGTAAAGAAGCCAGATATTAATACTGGTCGTCCAGATAGATGTAACGGTCACTCAGGTGGGGCAAGAGTGAAAGCAGATCATTAATTATGTTAAAAGGCTTTCAAAACAAGGAAGACTCGTTGGTAAATTACAGCAACAAAGTGTTCTAGAGAAAGGGAAAGGTAAATAGTAAATTTCAAAAAGACAGAGGAATGTCTACTAGAATCAGAGGGATGATTATCTAAAAATGGTACCGGGTTCTTGGGTGATGCCAAGCCCAAGCAATATGGAAAAATGAACATCCTCCACTAGAAAGGTCAGAGCTCCATGAGAGTCAGGGCTCTGAAACGGTTATGATGCAAGTAAATTTTGGTAAAGAAGATATAGATGATGTGTAAGTGAAGACCACTCAACTGATGTTCTATCAGTTGTATGATGGGGGGAAAAATTGAGGGGAAATAAGGTCTAGGAAGTACTGGTGGCCTAGTGGTAAGAAACTGTGCTTCAGTCCCAAAGGCATGTGGTTCGAATCCACTAACGGCTCCATGGGAAAAGAATTGGTAACTCCCTTCCATGCAATTACCTGCCTCTGCAAACTTTCAGTAGGGTCAGCTGTGGATCGTTTTCACATTGATGGTACACAAAAATAACAGCAAAGGTCAAGGAGCAAAACATCATATGCACTTAGAACATGAGCAACCAAGCAAGGAAGGGGGAAAGGAACAAAATCCAAACAGGGAGACAGTTCTGTTCTAGAAATACTCTAGGATAACAGGAATTTTATGGTGGTGCCTTTGACTCTGGTGGGTGATCTGCCGTGTGTTGTGCTACAAACCAAAGGCTACATGTCTCCAGCAGTTTGAATCCACCAGCTATTCCTTGGCAGAAAGCTGGATGTCTCCTCCTGTAAAGATTTATGGCCCCCAAAATCTGGTGCAGGACCACAATGGGTCAGAATTAACTCAATGTCAATGAGTGTGTTTTGAGTGTTTGTATGGCTATCAGAGATTCATATCAGTTGTTCATAGGGTCACTATGAGTTGTACTCAACTTGATGGCACCTGAGAACAGCCAGATCCCTACAAGAATTAGTCTCAGTGTTGTTCTGATAGGTAGGTATGTAAGATCACATGGAAAGGACAAAAGGGTTCTCATGTTTGTTGTTGTTGTTGTTGTTGTTGTTAGGTGTTGTTCAGTCGAGGATGACTTGTAGTAACTCTGTGAACAATAGATCTAAACCCTGTCCTATCCTTCACCATCCTTCTCATCTCTGACACACTAGAGCCCATCTCTGCAGTCACTGTGTCAAACCATCTGGTAGAGGGACTCTCTCTCTTTCACTAACTCTCCACCTTTCCAAGCGCAGTATCTCTTTCCAGGCACTAGTCCCTCCTAACAATATGCCCCAAGTATGTGACACAAAGCTTTGCCATTCTTCCTTTTAGTAAGCACTCTGGCTGCATTTTCTTCTAGTGGTCCACAGAATATCAGGCAATAAAGGACACAAAGTGGTTTGCAGAGAAATAAGCTAAAGCTAATCTTTTACCAAGCTGTCCCTATATCCATCTTTGAAAACCTTTCAAGGGGAGTCAGAGTCATCTACCTATGGTCTAGGAACTCCATGTCAAAATTGTCAGCTACATACAATTTGGCATTGTAAAAGTATCAGAAATCCTGTTTGCATACAGAGCATAGGTGCTAGAGACACAACTGTGAACAAGTCAGAAACAATCCTTGCCCTCTCAGAGAATTCACAATCATGTAAACAAGTAATTTTAATATACTGAGGAAGAGTCATGAAAGGGAAATAGGTTCTTCTGTGGGTGCATAAAAGGGACATTTAACCCAGCCTTAACAATTGTCAACTCAGGTGTAGCCAATCGTGGTCCATCTCTAGAAGTCATATTCTTTTCATCCAAAAATAATTTCAAAACATATTTCTAAAAGATAAAGACGTTTGGGAAAACAAATTAACTCATTTTGTTATGAAGCTGAAAATGAGTGATAATTCTCTTTTATCAAATATCCATTATTTCTATTTCACCGATCCTGCACATCACATGTTTTCTCTTTTTTTCTGTACAATCAACTATTTAGTCATTGCAAACACTTTTTAAAATTTTTTTATTATTGATTTCAATGAAAATTTAGAGACTTTGGATATCCATTCATTCATTGTTGCACTTTTTCTCCCTGCAACACCCCTCCCAACCCCAGTACACTCTTCTCTTTGAAAAAGTAAAAGAAAAATTCTTTCATTGTTTTACAATTCCTTCCCCAAGGTCCACTCCACTATGCAGCCTTTGTTCTGGACTCCTGTCATGACAAAAATACCTAATCACATATTCCTTTTTAAAAGTTTTCTCCTCATCCTTTCAATGTTGTTGTTTGTTGTTGTTATGTGCCATCAAATCGCTTGCAACTCATAGGAACCCTAGGTATAACAGCTCTAAACTCTGCTCTGTCCTGTGCCAATCTCATTGTCTCTGACACACTCATCCTGATTGCCCCAGTCACTGAATCAACCCACCTCCCAGAGGACCTTCCCCTCCTGCACCTGCCCTCCATCCTCCCAAGCATGATGTCCTTCTCCAAGGCCCGGTCTCTCCTTACAACATGACCAAAATATGTCAGACAAAGTCTCAGAATTCTTGCCTCCAAGGAGCAGCCCGGTTTAACCCTCTCCAAGATAAATCTTTGATTTCTTAGCAGTCCATGGTACCCTCAACACTCTTCTCCAACACCAAAGCTCAAAAGCATCAATTCTCCTTCTATCCACCCCAGTCATTGTCCAGCTATCTGACGCATAACAAGTGATTGCAAAGACCATGACCTGTACCAGATGCACCTTAGTCTCCAGAGACACACCGTTGCTTTTTCAGTACTTTAGAGAGGTCCCTAACAGCAGACTTTCCCATCGCAATACGTCTTTTAATTTCCTGACTGCTGGTACCAAGAGTGTTGATTGTGGAGCCAAGCAGACTAAAGCTGTGAACAATCTTAATCTCTTCACCATCCATCCTGATGTTGCCAATTGGTCCAGTGGTGAGAATCTTTGTCTTCTTGACATTGAGCCTCAGTCCATATTGAAGGCTGCAGTCCCTGACCCTCAGCAGCAAGCGCTTCAGGTCCTCCTCAGTTTTAGCAAGCAGGGTTGTGTCGTCTGCATAACACAGATTGTTGATAGATCTTCCACCAATCCTGTTTTGATGTAGTATACATTATATACCCCATCTTTCTCAGTCTCCCCTCAACCCCGATGTCAGTCCTGTTTTACAACAGTGGCACCATGCAGTATGTGTCCTTTTGTGACTGAGATATTTCACTCAGCATAATGTCCTCCAAGGTCACCCATTTTGAATAATATTGCATGAGTTCCTTGTTTTTCAATGCATAGTATTCCACTGTGTAAATATATCATAGCTTCTCTATCCATTCCTTTGTTGATGGGAATCTGTGTTTTCTTAGACATCTCATTGTGTAATCTCATTTTCATTAGCTGAAGTATGTTATATAGTTTTTAATCTATGGATTCTCCTATCACTTTTTTTTTCCTTCCAATTTGTTTCTTAAAGAAACCAGTCATTGAGTCCATCAAGTTTTTCACAGCTTAGGATTTGGTAGTTGTTTCCCTGTGGTGTCATTTAACATGCTCTTCTGTCCTTAGTATTTTCTGTAAACTAATAGGTAGATGTAGAAGTGTATTTGGATTTTTGCTTGATTTGTTGTTGTTGTTGTTCTTGCTATTGTTGTTGTTGTTTAGGCAAAAGACAGGGTAGGGCATGACTACTTTACAAATACGTTGTACTTCTATAATGAAGCACAAAATACTGAGTTTTCTTTCTTATGATGACAGCAACCATTGATGGTCAGTCATTTGTTGTTGTTTTTAGGTACTGTCAAGTTGTTGCTGTTGTTGTTGTTGTTATGTGCCGTCAAGTCGTTTGCGACTCATAGCGATCCTATGTACAACAGCTCTAAACCCTACTCTATCCTGTGCCAATCGCATGGCCTCTGAGACACCCATCCCAATTACCCCAGTCACTGAATCAATCCATCTCATAGAGGGTCTTCCCCTCCTGCGCTGTCCCTCCACCTTACCAAGAATTATGTCTCTCTCCAAGGACCTGTCTCTCCTTACAACATGTACAAAGTATGTCAGATGAAGCCCCAGAATCCTTGCCTCCAAGGAGTAGCCTGGTTTAACCCTCTCCAGGATTAATCTGTTTTCTAGGCAGTCCAGGGTACATTCAATACTTTTCTCCAGCATCACAGCTCAAAGGCATCAATTCTCCTTCTGTCTTCACTAGTCATTGTCCAACTCTCTGATGCATGACAAGTGATTGCAAGGACCATGGCCTGTATCAGGTGCACCTTAGTCTCCAGAGACACACCGTTGCTCTTGAGTACTTTAGAGAGGTCCCTAACAGCAGACTTTCCCATCATGATACGTTTTTTTTATTTCCTGGCTGTTGGTTGCAAGAGTGTTGACCATGGAGCCAAGCAAACTGAAGCTGTGAACAATCTCAATCTCTTCACCATCCATCCTGATGCTACCAATTGGTCCAGTGGTGAGAATCTTTGTCTTCTTGACATTGAGCCTCAGTCCATACTGAAGGCTGCAGTCCTTGACCCTCTGCAGCAAGTGCATGAAGTCCTCCTCAGTTTCGGCAAGCAGGGTTGTGTCATCCGCGTAACGAAGTATGATTCATAAAAACTCTATGAACAACCGATCTGAACCCTGTCCTATTCTATGCCATCCTCACAATCTCTGACACACTAATGTCCATTGCTGTAGTCACTGTGTCAACCTACCTGGTTGAGGATCTTCCTTCTCCTTTGCTGTCCTCCAGCCTTCCCCAGAAAGAGGCCCCTCTCCAAGAAATAATTTCTCGTAGACACATGCCTGAAGTATGTGAGATAAAGCTTCAATCATCTTTGCCTCTAAGGAGCACTCTGGCTGCACCTTCTCCAAGATGTGTTGAGTCACTAGATCTATAAAGCCATAATGTTCTTAATGACAAAAGTTTAATCTGCATTTCTTTACATAGGGGCTGCTCTGTGCTACTTCCAAAAGAATAAAATTGAAACCAGGTTCTCTCGGGAAACCGTTGCCGCCATATATCATTCAGGTAAGATATCATTGTGATAATTATGATATAATGGTTAATTGAGCTCTTACTAGGAGCCAGACACTATCCTTAGCACTTAATATTACTTAATTAACTCACAGTAACAGCTCTAGCAGGAAAATGTTTTTTGACAGAATTCTCACCTCTCTAGGGAGGCTCCTCTAGAATGATCTCAGCTCCTCAAAAGATAAGGTCTTTGTATCACAAAACCTAGCTCGGTGATTCATGGAGTGGACAAGTTTTTTTTATAGACAACTATTTTACAAATGACTTTTGGTAACATTTAAAATTAAATATTTAGAAGAAGCATAGTACTGTTATTTGACCAAGTAGGGACATTTAGCTTCAGTTTACTTGGCTCCACAATCAACACTCTTGGTACCAGCTACCAAGAAATCAAAAGACAAATTGCACTGGGAAAGTCTGCTGTCTGGGAACTCCCTAGAGAACTAATGAGCAATGATGTCAGTCTGGATATTAAGGTGCACCTGATCCAGGCCATTGTCTTCACAATTACAGCATCAGAAAGCTGGACAATGACTAAAGATTACAGAAGAATTGATGCCTTTCAGTTGTGGTGCTGGAGAAAAGACTGAATATATCATGGACTGACAGAAGAACAAATTCTTCCTGGAGAGAGTGAAACAAGGCTGTTCCTTGGAGGCAAAAATTCTGAAGCTCTGTCTCACATTCTTTGGACATGTTGCAAGGAGGGACCTGTCCTCGGAGAGGGACATCATACTTGGAAGCGTGGAAGGACAGCACAAGAGAGGAAGACCCTGGATGAGATGAATTGACTCAGTGACTAGTAATGGGTGTAGGTGTGTCAGAGACAATGAGGTTGGCACAGGATTGACCAGGATACAGCTATACAGCTCTGTTGTACATAGGGTCACTATGAGATGCAAATGACTCGACAGCACACAACAACATACACACACACACACACACACACACACACACACATATACAGAGAGTGATTGAAAGTAGAGATTACTAGAATAATGTCTATCTAAGTTTCAGTGACTACACAAAGACATTTGACTATGTGGATCACAACAAGTTGTATCTAACCTTGAGAAGAATGGGAACCTCAGAACACCTGAATGTGCTCATTCAAAACCTATACTGTCCTCTTTTTAAAAGTACTCAGTAGGCCTTTTGCCAGTGACTGAGCCATCAAGAAAGGATAGAATAGAAACATGACTTTTGGGTTAAGCAGCAACATCTTGTGTTGTTTTGCCTCAGTTGGTGATGTGACCAGGTATTCTATCTTTGGAATTAAATGGAGTGTGAAAGCAGCAAGGCTTAGGTTTGGGGGAAATGCTGCTAGTAGATAAAATACTCTTAATATGCTTTGGAGGAAGAAAAAGAAAAAACCTATACCTGGACCAGGAGGCAGTCATCAGAACAAGCAAGGAATCACTGAATGGTTCAAAAGCAGGAAAGAAGTGCTTCTCCATACCTTCTCAATCTATACTCAGAATAGATCATTCAGGAGGCTGGTCTTTATGAGGAAGAATATGGTAACAGAATTGGAGGAAGACAATTTGTATTATGCAGATGACATAACATTGCTCACTGAAACTGAGGAGGACCCTAAAGCATCTGCTACAGAAGCTCAAGGACTTTAATAATCTTCCATACAGACAGAAGCTCAACATTAAGAAGACAAAGATTCTCTACCCCTTGGCCAATTAGCCATCATAGATGGAGAAGTGATTGAGATTCTCAACAATTTCAGCTTGCTCAGGTCCATGTCAACTCTCCCAGAACCAGCAGCCAGGAAATCAAAAGATTAATTACATTAGGAAAATCTGCTGTCAGTGATCTGTCCAAAGTGATAAAGAGCAATGATGTTAGGCTAGAGACTAAGGTGCACCTGATCCAGGCCATGGTCTTCGCATTTACTTGCTATGCATCAGAGAGCTGGACAATGAATAAGGATGACAGACGTAGAACTGATGTCTTTGAATTGTGGTGGTGGGGAAGAGTATTGAGCATACCATGGTCTGCCAAGATAGCAAACGGATCTTTCCTGTAGAGAGTGAAATCAATTTGCTCTCTGGAGGCTAGGATTTTGAAGCAATATCTGACATACTTTGGGCACAGCACAAGGAGGATCAGTCTTTGGAGAGGGATATCATGCTTGGAAGGGTGGAGGGACATTACAGGAGAGGAAGACCCTGGATGAGATGGATTGACACAATGACTGAGGTAGTAGGGGCAAGTGTGCCAGAGACAGTGAGATTGGCTCAGGATAGGACAGAGCTATTGTGCATATGATTGCTATGAGTCACAGGCAACTCAGTAACACACATATATATGGTTAAAAGTTAGACTGTGGAGACAGACTTCTTGGATTTGAAAATGAACATTACTTTTTAGCTGTGTATGCCATTAACCAAGTGATTGCAAAGATCATGGCCTGTATCAGACACACTAGGACAATGACTAGGGAGGATAGAAGGAGAATTGATGCCTTTGAGCTTTGGTGTTGGAAAAGAGTATTGAGCGTACCATGGGCTGCTAAGAAAACAAACAGATTCATCCTGGAGAGGGTTAAACCAGGCAGCTCCTTGGAGGCAAGGATTCTGAGGCTTCATCTGACATACTTTGGTCATGTTGTAAGGGGAGACCAGGCCTTGGAGAAGGACATCATGCTTGGGAGGGTGGAGGGACAGCGCAGGAGGGGAAGGCCCTCTAGGAGGTGGATTGATTCAGTGACTGGGTTAATCAGTGACTGGGTGTGTCGGAGACAGTGCGATTGGCACAGGACAGAGCAGAGTTTAGGGCTGTTGTACATAGGGTCGCTATGAGTCACAAGTGACTCGATGGCACATAACAACAACAACAACATGCCGCTAACATATTTTTAAGTGTGTTTTTCATATTCTTTTTCTTATACATAAGATGAATAATTAAATATTTGTGCTTAAAACATTTTCCCTTGAAGTTCTGGTTTTCTCATCAATTTCTATTTACCAAACATTGGAGACGTTTATTATCCATTATTTCTTTCTTTGGTCCGTTTTTTAACCATTTTTTATTGACCTACAACCTTGTTTAGTCCTCACAACAAAGTGAGGATATAGATCATTTTAAAATTCCCATCTTGTAGGTAAAGAAATTGTGGTCCACAGTCTCAAAGTAATTAGCTCAAGATCTTCATAAGTAGAGTATGGTAGCAAATACTCAAACCCAGACCTTTCCAGCTCTGGTATCTTTACACCTATGCTACCCCATAGACAGCTCAGTCTCAAAGTACAGCAACCAGGCAATTTCCTGGCATCTTAAATGGTATTTAAAAAACCCTTCATTGTCATTGAATCAGAACCAACTCATAGATGATCCTCCAGCAGGTTTTCAGAGGCTGTAAATTGCATGTGAGCAATGGCCCATCTTTTTCTTATGGAGCAACTGATAGATTCAAACCACCCAGCTCTGATTTGGTGGGACAATTCCCTACCCCATGAGGATACCAGAGCTCCCTTTGAATGTGACAATAAGTCTTAAATGTAGATCTTCGGTATTTTAGGTACAAATGATTCATAAGTGAAATTTCTTTCCTGGTTTTCCAATTTCAGATTGTAGATGAAAAGTCAAATGTCCTGTCTCCAGGAGAAGAAGGAAATATTGCCATCCATATAAAACTAAACCAACCTGCCCACCTCTACTGTCCACACATGGTAAGGGAAATTTTCTTTTTTTTTTCTTAAATACTTTTATTGTTAATATAAATAATGACATCATATTTATGGTGTGCCAAACATTTTTGTCCCAACTTTCAATTTTGCAAACTTTCAAATCTAGGAAATGACTTATATGATAGTGCAGTAAATCTTGACTTAGTGGTTAGGACCTGTACTGCCAATACAAAGGCATGCAATTCAAATCACCAGCTGCTCCATGGGAGAAAGACGAGCAGTCTCGTCCCTTGTGATTTACGGCCTCTGAAAACTTGTTAGAGGGTCAGCTATGACAGTACTTGACAACTTAGCGCAGTGGTTAATGCTCAACTACTAAGTCAAAAGTTGGTAGTTTGAATTTACCGATCACTTTAGAAGATGTGGTCTGTTTCTGCAAATATTACAGATCTGAAAACATCACAGAGCAGTTCTATTCCATCTTATAGGGTCACTATCAGTGAGGACCATCTCAACGGCAGGAACTTTGCTTTGACAAACACCTATATTCATCTGTTTTAACATCTTGCCTCATTCAGCTGGTACACTTTTTTAAAAATTGCAGATATTATGATACCTTTCCCTTAAATACTCCAAGGTGCCTATACTTCATCTAAGGATAAGACCTTCTTATTAACCATAATATCACCATAACATGTAAGAAAGTTCAAAAAAATAATTTTATAATCTCTAATATCCAGTACGTTGCCTCAACTGTACCCAAAATGTCATTGATAGCTCTTATAAATCCAGAATTCAAACCTAACATATCTACTTTGTTCTCGTCTTTTCTTATTTATATTAAATAGTGTGACAACCTTCTTTAATATTTTTGAAAGGCAGTGATTTATTGTCTTCTAAAATGCCTTACATTATATATTTGTTTTTTATTTCTTCATGATAAAATTAGAATACACATTATTTCTAGGAGCATTGTTGTTGTTGTTATGTGCCGTTAAGTTGCCTGTGACTAATAACGTTATGTAGATTGTTGTTGTGATGTGCTGTCGAGTCGCTTGTGACTCATAGCGACCCTATGTACAACAGCCTTAAACCCTGCTCTATCCTGTGCCAATCGCACTGTCTCCGACACACCCAGTCACTGATTACCCCAGTCACTGAATCAATCCACCTCATAGAGGGCCTTCCTCTCCTGCGCTGTCCCTCCACCCTCCCAAGCATGATGTCCCTCTCCAAGGAC